TGATTAGAAGAAAATGTACGAGTGTTGGAAATTTTAGATTCGATCCTGTAAAGAATCAATGGTCGAGTGACGTCGCGCAGATGTCCACGCCTCGGTATTGCACGGAGTGGCTGCGCTTGATGGCTTCCTGTATGCTGTAGGCGGCTGGAATAGCTACCCTCTGGACACAGTCGAACGGTTTGAGAGCCTAAGTTTTTTCAGCCAGAAAACCCAAGTAACTTGAGCCCCTTCGAAAAAGGGATAACTTTGGCCAACTCTTGCTCGTCTCTTGATCCTCTCTTGCACGATCAGAGCAAAGCAGGATAGATTGATGAGCAGGGAAGTATCAAAAGATGAGATGGCCGCTCATTCCCGCTCTGCGTTGGGGCTTCTAGGCTGCTTGCTTTACTGTGTGGAAAAGTATTGCTTTAGCTATGATGCTGAACGAAACAAATGGACCAGTGTGGCATCCATGCGAACACCTCGGCTAGGGCTCTCTGTATCCGTACTTGATGGCTGTTTATACGCTATCGGAGGGTTTAGCGGTAGTGAATTGAAAATAGTTGAAAGGTACACATTTGCAATTGCATTTGCAGGTACATTTGTTAAATGTTCGACCCAGAAGAAAGTTCTTTAGCTAGAGCACATCCCCGTTGTGTGGAATTTCAGGAAAATACGGACTTTTTTTTCTTCTTTTGTACGTTACAATGATCCCACAGTCCAACTACGTGTTTTCCCTAGATCGTCCTCAGAGGTGGGATGAGGGGGGGGGGAAGAGGTTCTCTACAGCATAGACACAATCTATCACATGAAACGGTGCTTCTGAAGGATGGTTTTGTTGCGCTACCAACTAGAGTGATATGTAGTTTATGTAGGCACGTGGAAAAAAACTAACAAGCGGAGATTTTTCTCGCAACTCGGAGTCACTCTTTCATCCACCCCCCTGTCCTCATCGATCGGGCCCCCCTTCACTGTTCTTTTCACAACGGGGACTGTTACCTGCTTTGGACTCTCAAGCGATGTACCAAGTAACTACATACGCAAATGTACGAAATTACAAAGATAGATTGAGCGATTCGGGTTTCAGGTTAGATCCACGAGTTGGCAAATGGGAAAGACGTTTGCCCAATGTTAGACCACGAACTCATCCTGGAACTGCAGTATTCGATGGTCATTTGTATGCAGGAGGAAAGGAAGCATCGTCAGTTGAGAGGTACAGCCCTCTCACCAATGAATGGATTGACGTGCCTGCTATGAAGAGGAACAGGAGAACTGTGAGTGTGTGCATTCTGATTACGCCAGTACACAATGATAACGGGGTGTCGAATACATTGGTGGTTTTTGTTATCTTTCACAATGTTTCCTGAACTATACAGCAAACTGAGAAAACTGTGCGGAACATCTCTTTATGCTTCACAAATTTACTTTAATTTCATTTCATGTTTCGAGGCTTAGAAAGGGAAATTCAAGAGAAAAAAGAAGCAGCACTTAACCATAAATTTTCGCCGAAATCAGAGAGCCCGAGACATCCTGTGCTATATGTGAAGGGGATACTTTGACTGAATTTGAACTGAGTTCCTCCCATGTTATTGAGCGGATCGGGCTATGAATTCTCCTCAGTGTTCATGGTTTTTCGAGATTTCTCCACATTCGTCCTGAAAAGCACCCATGGTTTCCCCCCTCCCCCATCCCCTTCAGGGCACGCACCGTCCACAGTGGGCCAGTCTCAGCGCACCACATACACGCTGCTTAACTTTCTTCAGACGTTTCTCTTCTCCAACGACTTTTTTTCCGATCTCTAAACTCTCAGGACCGAGTTATAGAATTTTGTGGTAAGCACCGCCCATATCGGGTAAGCCCGCCATCCACGTCTGCGTCTCCCACTTCGGCCGTCAACCTCTTGCTGGCTTTGGTCTTTTTCTCCCATGTTTGGGCTACTCTGGAAGTGAATCATGGATTTTCGCTGCTACGCGGATCACTCTCCGTGCGCGACCCGCCCACTACGGGCGGGCCTTATTATTTTTAATAACGGTATTACAATATGTCAGCTCACAAAACGTGCCGTTCATTTTTCTGTCGATAACAGGCTTCCGTCCAACCAGGGAAGTCGGCTGCTCTCCTACTAGAAGATAGTTCCGACCAAGTGTTCCATAAAATGCCTCCGTGCGTTTCGCATCTAAGTCTGCGCTGTCATAGAGCGTACCACTTGCGTCACTCGGGAGGGAGGGGGACGTTGATCTCTAGAGGGCGGGGCTTTGTTCTTTTCAGTCTGCAAGACAGCGACTTACACGGCTAATCACGTGTATGCATTCCGTTGCCTGCAGCGTCGTAGCACGACATAAGTTATCGGAATCTCCGACTTTTCGACTCTTCTGATAGCTCACAAGTTGTTCTGCTCTTTCTGGGTACCTTTTTGAAAGCAGACAAGTGCGAACTCACTTGTTAGCTGCTAGTTCAAGACTGAACATCCATTATCCGTATTACTTAGCATGAGCCCAACCCCTTTTTTCGCATTTCTTCATCGCTCAGAGACTGAAACCCATCGATTCCACACTTAATGGAAACAGCGTGTGCTTATCTAGTGTTTCGAAGTTTATGGCGTTGATTACGATTATTTCAGTCACTGTTGCATTCAAAAGAACATTGGACATAAAAATATTTGCGAACTTATCCGCCAGCCTAATACAAACGTAAGAATGTAGCGAGGATTTCCATTGTAGGAACGACTAGCTGTCGTCAACGGAAAGCTATACGCTCTTGATATGACGATAGTCGAAGTTTTCGATTCTGAGATGAACAAATGGAAACATCACAGCTACTTGAACCAAGGGTGAGTTGTAAATCCTTATCAAACTTTTCTTTTCCGAATTTCAAGGGCATGCTTTGTTTGCTAAAATGTTAATATCGTGTTTCCATAGAAAATGTAGACATTTCCAGTCGATGGGCTAGCAGATGTGGGTGTTCTTCGGGTGCTGCGATAGTTCCAGCAGCGTCCTAAGATACAAGGACTGTAACATCATTCTCACTCTTCCCTACAAAACTCGGATACCGCTTGTCATTTATAAGGTCGAGATATCTTTTTTTGAGAAAATTGGTCCTCGCACAATAAAGCTTTCGACTTCTCAGCTGTTTTTGACCCCATGTTGCTTTGCTCCTTCTTTTCTTTACCGAATAAACTGAGTAGAGAATTCATAGCACAGAGAAGCGCTTTCAGGGACTTTTACCACCAACTTCAGTATTCCGCACCTCAACAAAGCGGCGGTAGTTGGGAGAAGGAGGGCAGGTTGGATCTACGCGGTTGCGCGACCACTTCTACT